CTCAAGGCTAGTGCTCTACCACTTGAGCCACAGCGCCACTTCCAGCTTTTTCTGCTTATGTGGTGCTGAGGAATCGAACCCAGGGCCTCATGCATGAAAGGCAAGCGCTGTACCACCTTCCCAGCCCCGATAAATAATTTTTTTTATCCACTGTAATTTATTACCGTTTTATTTAAAATCTCTGACTCTATCATTTTTAGAGAGTGATAATTACATTTTTTACCCCATCACACAGGTACCTGAATTATGCTAGCTCTTTACAGTGAATCAGCAAATTCCCTGTTAGTTAGGGAAACAGTCAAACCAGTTTATTTGCTCAGAAATTATTGGTTGCAAACTATGCCCATAGTACTTTCTGACACAATTTTCTGTTCTATGGACTCTGTACTGGATTCAGTTCAAACTATTATGTGATTTGTTTGGCTGTGTTAGCTTTTTTTGGGGGGGGTCTGGTCGTGGGGCTTGAACTCTGGGCCTGGATGCTGTCCCTCAGCTCTTCAGCTCAAGGCTAGCACTCTACCACTTGAGCCACAGTGCCACTTCTAGCTTTTTTTTTTCCTTCTGATTATGTGGTGCTGAGGAATCGAACCCAGGGCCTCAGGCATGCAAGGCAAGCGCTCTACCACTGAGCCACCTTCCCAGCCCAAGCTGTGTTAGTTTTTACATCACCTTTCTGCAAATTCCACAGTCCCTCACAGGCTTGTTCATCCCAACACTGTCCCATGCAGGTATCATTGAGCCTTAGAGAGCCCTGGGAATTCTGGGGCTATAAATTTATTTTAAATACAACAAAAGTCACTGCAAAATGGACATTTCAATCCACAGAAACATCTGTTAAGAAACAAATATGGCAGCTCTGTGGAAATCTGAGAAGAATGTACTATGACTAAAAATGACTTAGAGAGCAAGACCAAAAACTGTTATTTTAATGCAGCCTATACACGAAAAAAATATAGTTTCACTTTAAAATAATGTAGGAAAAGTGAAATCTGAATATACATACTTTACAGGTGTGGGTTTTCCTTTGGATAAGTAGAACTTCTGGTCATTATTGTATTCATCAAATACTCCCCATCTTAGATGAGCCCACTCATGGACAAATGCCCTACCTATGGGAAAAATATTTGAAACACTTGAATATAATAAATAGGGTAAAATAATCTTTTCACACTAGAGAAAATGTTTATTATACTTTGCTAGGCTCTTTGAAAATTGGAGACATGAATTCTTTTTGTTGTTGTTGATTGTAGGGTTTGAACTCAGGGTCTGGGTGCTCTTGAGATTTTTCACTCAAGGATAGTACTTTACCACATTGAGCCATACCACCACTTCCATTTTTCTTGAGGTTAACTGGAAATAAGAAACTCATGAGCTTTTCTGCCTGGGCTGGCTTTGAACCATGATGCTCAGATCTCAGCTTCCTTTCTTACAGGTGAGAGCCATCAGTGCCCAGCGACATGGATTCTTTAAAATGATCAAATACTTACTGATTAACATTACATGTTAATCAGTCACCTACTGAGAAGCAGACAGTAATTCATACAAAGATGAGACAGCCTCAACTATCCTTGTCCAGTGCTTGGTCCAGTGAAGGACACAAAGATTCAGACACAAAATGCTTCACAGTGGAGGGTTAAGTCCAACTCCTAGTAGAGCATGCTGGAGGCCTGATGATTCGGGCCTTGCCTCTCCAAGTTTGATTCACTGTTGTTTTCTACCTTCTTTCAACACTCCAATTCCAATTAGTTCCTCACCTTATACATTGTAGGTCGCATAATACTCTTTCTCATTTCTGGATCGTTTGAGATGTATTTCTTTGGGAATCTCTCCTTCCTCTCTCTGCCACTGTAACTCCTACTCTTCATTATGACTGTCTGCCTTAGCAAGCTCAGATTAGCCCAGGAATTCCTTGGGTATACATCTTTTTATTCCATTCTGGCACATATCACACTCTGCTGTCATAGCTGCTTCATGGCTACTCTCTCACCAGGCACTTTGTGAAGTCAGATATTACAACTTCTTCACAGTGTTATCTAAGCACACATGTCTTCAAATTAATAGGCATGGAGTCAAGTATTAGTTACATCTGGATGTGTTTTAATGATTTATATACAGCCTTGCTTTTCTGAATTGTGAATTTCAAGGTAGGCCGGATAGGGATGGGTAGGTGCAAGAGGGCAAGCAGAGAGAGTCCCACAATCCCACAGTTACGGATTTATATGCTGGGTTCTGAGGAACAATGTAGGATTTACAGGTAAGAGAAGACTGCAGAAGCTCAAGTGGTTGGAGTGGGCTTAAGAGTATGACAGAGCAAATAGGTAAAAAATGTATTTATTGAGCCATGGGCTGGGCATTTTCTGTTCTTACTATGGAGTTGAAATATAGGATTGTAGAACAACCAAGAAGTATGTTTGACACCTCTGGATAAGTAAGTGTTCTAATATAGTTAGGGGTGGGGCATGGACACACCTGGGTTCTTTGCTTGTTTATTTTCTCTGTTCTAACTCTTTGAAAAAAAAAAAAGAAAAGCTGAATCTGGAGGAATCTAATCTTTTTCAGACAGTAAAGATGTGTAAAGCTATTTGCTTAATAATGTATCACATTTGATTGTATGTAGAAAGCATGTGGTTTATGTGCATTGTTGCTGTTATATTTCAATGCTTCCTCCAGTTGGCTCTGTCAGTACATATAGAAATGAGAAAGGGTTTTCTTTTACAAAAGAAAATTTGAATTTTTTTCTTTAGTTAGTGTTTTCTCTATTTTTTGTTAACATTTGTGTTTTGGGAGGGGCTTGTTTTGTTGTTTTCAAACAGGATCTCATTTTATAGTCCAGGCTGACCTTGAACTAGAGATCTTTCCTCAGCCCCCCGCCTCCCACCACCTCACCCTGTTTGACAGTTACCAGATATTCTTGTTTGTTATTCAAAGTGTGGCACATATCCCTGAAGTGGCAGCATCACCTGGAAGGTTGGTTAAAATTCAGAGGAATCCCTTCCCCATAGCTACTGTGTCTGCATTTTAACAAGATCAGTTTATAGTTTGAATGTACACAGATGTCCAATAATGCTGTACGTATCTGCCATCTGGTGGCTATCTTGTGAATTGCAGGAGAAAGTTAGTTTGAGTCTCTTCACAAATTTATAGTAACTTAATCCTATTAATTAATGTCAGGTAATTTCACAATATATGTAAAACAGTTTCAACAATTATTCAATTATAATTCAATTTCAAAAATGAAAAACTTCATTTGTGAACACATGCAAACCAAAAAATTATAGCTGAGAAACGTACTAATCGTATTCCTTAATTCAAGTGAAAAAAACTTGCTTTCTCAGTTTATGCTGGTTCACTTGATCTTTGTGCCTTACAAAGGCAATTCTGAGTTTATCTGCTTTGACAAAAATATTAGCTCATGAATAACATAGTAGAATATTTCATCTGTATCCATACCTTGGGGTCCATATTGAAGCAACTTCTTCCCTGCTAAGAAGTTCGGAGTGAGATGAATCCTGTCGCCCATCTCTCCACACTTTCCTACTTGCTCAGTATAGGGTTGGTCATTACCTGGAGGACTGGTCTCAGCAACCAGAACATCAGCCTGAATATTGAGAAGTTATTTATTAACACACCATGTCAGCAAATTGACCTCAGACCAAAATATCTGGATACAATTTCATTTGATTTTACAGCATTTTGCTTTGGGGGAAAAAGATTACAGAAGAAAATTGACATTGAAAACAATGACATACTCACATTTTTGAGGGTCTCGAGTTTTGGCCTCACATAATCAGGTTTTGTCTTCCAGTTTTCAGGAATCAAAATGGCAACATTTTTGAAGTAAAATCTTTTCCCTGTTGCTTCAAACAGGTATGGAGATGCCTGAGTCACCATGTCCTGGGGAGAAAAAAATTACATAACAATATGTCTGAAAACAGACAAAATACTAATTATTAAAATTGGCGTGTGCTTATTACCTTTCAAACACCTTGATGGAAAGGGGAGATGTGGAAAGGCCTTTATTAATGGAGCTAACTTTTCTAAGCATTTGTCATACACCATGGGTAATGGTGGACAATGCAGACTCTAGAGGAAGATGTAATCCTGAGATGGCCACGTCCTGGGAGACAATAGACAGTTTCTAATCCTGGGGCCACGTATAAAATGGAAACTATTATATGTCTGATAAGGCTGGAGTGAGGAATGAATAAAATTGAAACATAGGACTAGTTGGAACAATGCTTATTTAGCACGAATGCTTATTAAATGCCATCAGCATCAAAAAAGTCTTTGTGGGAAAAGCTGAGAATTAAGAGGGCATGAGTGTAGGCTCTCACAGCCAATAGGATAGGAGTGTTGAACATGACCTCAATACCTGCTGAATCTTGTAATAACCTTGGGATTTCAAACCAAATTGAATGTCCAGTTTAGAGTTAGTTATCAAGAAATAGCATCGTTACATGCTTTCAAATTATACATAACTGTCTCTATCCAAAATGAAAGAGCATCACTACTAAATGTCTCATCCAAGCTGGGCGCTGGTGGCTCATGTCTGTAATCTTAGCTACTCAGTAGGCTGACATCTGAAAATCATGGTTTGAAGTCAGTCAGTCTGGACAAAAAAAGTCTCTGAGCCTCTTATCTCCAATAAACTACTCAGAAAAAGCCTAAAGTGATGTTGTGGCTCACTGTGGTAGAGCATTAGCCTTGAGCACAAAGAGGCTCAGCCCAGGACCTGAGTTCAAGCCCCAAGACCAGCAAAAAAAGTCTCAGCCAATGCCTTGAGATGCTTCATAACAAGATAGTAGAGAACGTCTTACAAGCCAGCCACTGCTGTGGGAAATGGACACTAGATCTGTTAAGACCAGGGTGCTGACGGAGGAAAGAAGGACTTGAGAATTTTAAGGTGGGCAGAGGTGAAGCCAGCCAAGGAGACAGGAGGAGCAGTCAGTGTGCTTGAAGAAACACAGATACTCTTACCTTTTATGTTTTAATAACAAACATTTGGTATTTGTTCCAGGTTCTGGGTCTGTAAGAAGAGTGGGTGGTCACAGCTGTAGGATGAGCTAAAATGTTCTTAAGGACAGGGATAGGATAGTATGTTGTTCACAATAGATTCCTAGTAGCTGACATTATGTTGATACTCTGAAAATATTTTGGAATGAATGAACAAATGACCAACATAACAAATACAATGGTTATGGTGAGTGCTCAAATGCAATGCCAAGACAGGCCGAGTCTAGGCTCCCAGACATTGACAAGATCCTGAAATACTCGTGTGTGTGTGTGTGTGTGTGTGTGTGAGAGAGAGAGAGAGAGAGAGAGAGAGAGAGAGAGAGAGAGAAACAGCAGGGTGAGGGGGGAGAGGAACAGGCTAGGTCTTCTCCCTGACTCCCTTTTCTCATCTGGAAGGTACTTTCCAGGCCTTCTCCAAGGAATTATCTGCAGGGGTGCAGATACCTTGGATGGAACTGTTGCAGCACCAGGTGGCAAAACTTTGAGAACTGGCTGAAGCTGACATAGACCCTGTGTTGAAAATGAATTACTCAACTTGTGTGTGTGTGTGTGGGGGGGGGGACAGGAGGGAAAAACTGGGAGAGAAAAAAGAAATGTACTCATTGCCTGACTTGTGTAACTAATGCTTCTATGCATCACCTTTCCAAGTAACAACTTAAAAATGCATGAAGAAAAAGAATATGCATCACCTTTCCAAGTAACAACTTAAAAATGCATGAAGAAAAAGAATAATAAAAACAAAAAGCTGACTTAGAGGCTCTGTTCCTTACAAGGGGAGTGTTTTTGTAGACAGTCCTTGAAGACAGTGTGGGGGAGTTAGGAAAGGGAGCAGAACTCATGGTGAGCTCCCTCAGCTCTCAAGATTTGGAATCAAAACGGAGGAACTCACTTCTTGTAAGAACTCAGGATTTGAGCATATCTCTGCATGAAACTCTATGCATTCTTCTGACAAAGAAGGGAATGGTGGAAGCCTGCTTATTTCACATCCAATTATTTAGTACTCATTCTCAGAAGCCAATTGAGTAGCCAGTGAAAAATACATTCCTCAGGAGGAAAGCCCCAAAGATTGCAAGCTGAAGGCATGCTGGAGTCTCTGCAGCACCCCAGAGCTGCCATTGCTATTTCTGTTAGAGCTATGCTGTCTGTGGTCTCCCGGCATGATCTTGCACCCCACTGTCTGGACAGGGTCAGAAACACATTGGACTTGCTTTTCTCTTTTTTTTTTTCCCTATGTATTTCAGTTTTTTCCCTGATGCCTTTCCCAAGTTTAGAACTCACTCCTGGCTTCTGATTATTGAGATTTTAAAAGGAATGACTTTCTTTCTTTTCTTTCTTTCTTCCTTTCTTCCTTCCTTCCTTCCTTCCTTTCTTTCTTTCTTTCTTTCTTTCTTTCTTTTCTTTTTTTTTTACCAAACACTTTGGTGGTCTTCTGGGTAAACAGGTAAGCCTCACATTGAGGCTTCCAGTGCCCACCTACTCCACCTAGAGATAAGCTGCTGACATGGAGCCATGATTCTTTCTCGAACCTCCACTTCTCTTAGTTTGCTTCTGCTTAAAGTAAGACATTTGGGTGGAATATATTGGGGGTGTTTGTATACTTTCTTTTTTTATTGTGAAAATACCATACAGAGGGGTATAACTACATGGGCAGGATAATGAGTACATTTCTTATCAAGCATTGTTGCCTCCTCCTTTGTTTCCCCTTCCCATCCCTTCCCATCCTCCCATCTATCCCCTTCTCCATCCTCTCCCTCCAAGCCAAAGTTGTAAAGTTTGTTTTTTGACATAACGTTTTGTACATTTCATTGTTGCAATGGGTCAGCCTGTATCCCTATTTAAACAATTTGTTTTTTCCCTTCCACTCCACAAATTATACCAATATCAAATACACTGAAAACAAGGGTTATACCATGGGGGAGGGATATACAAAGCAACAAAGAAATATCTTATAAATATGTTAGAAACAATGGCAAGAAAGAAAAAGCATTTGATCGTTATATTGGGGTTCATTTCACCTAATATCAACTTATCTGACCGTTTCTGCTTGTCTCAGACATATACTAGTTATTGCAAATAAGGGAAACCATGGGACTTATGTTTCTTTGGGCCTGGAAGAGCTCCCCTATAACCCAGCAATTCCACTTTTGGGCATTTACCCAAATGATCACAGACAAGACCATACTAAAGTTACCAGCACAACTATGTTTATTGCAGCATTATTTACCATAGCTAAGATATGGAACAAACCTAGATCCCCTCAGTAGATGAATGGATCAAGAGAATGTGGTATATATACACAATGGAATTCTATGCCTCCATCAGAAAGAATGACATTGCCCCATTTGTTAGGAATGGAAAGACTTGTATATTAACTCTCTATCTAGAGGGATATAGATGGGGACTGGTGACCAGTGACTATGTTTCCAATTTACTAGGCACCAGGCACTATGCAGGCATTTATATATTTGATCCTCATTAACTTACATGAGGACACATTCACTACTGTCCCTGTTTTGCAGAGCAGGGTCTTACTCGTTGTAAAATGCTATCTCTCAAGGTGCTACAGTGAGATTCCAGAATGGTCTTTTAGGAGGCGTTTTCCTCATATTTTTAGCCCTCTGTTGTTGCCTAAAAAAACTTTTTTGTCGGTTGTGGGGCTTGAACTCTGAGCCTGGGCTCTGTCCCTCAGGTCTTCAGCTCAAGGCCAGCGCTCTGCCACTTGAGCCACAACACCACTTCTGGTTTTTGGTGGTTTATTGGAGGTAAGAGTCTCACATACTTTCCTGCATCGGCTGGCTTTGAACTGTGATCCTCATTATCTAAGCCTCCTGAGTAGCTAAGATTAAAGGTGTGAGCCACTGGCACCCGGCTACCTGTGTAATTTTTTTTAATACCTCCACCTGACATCAGCTTGGGCCCATTTGCCAGGACAAGATGCTTCTGTGCGTCTTCCCTTCCCCCATGGAAGGGGCAGCAAAGTGAGGAACTGTCCCTCTGCAGCCCTGAGAAGAACTCTTGTTTTGGGGTTGATAATACAGAGTTTCCTCCCATTGGTAAGGTCAGGATGGCTGTTACATCAGACCTGGCTTTCTGGGTTCCTATTAGCACCACAGGAAAGGGGGATACAATTTAGAGGAAGAGAGTCAAATGTGTACAAGTGGAAACATCAGCCAAGGGAATTTCTTCTGTGCATCTCATAACACCTGCCAAAGGTAATCATCTCTGCCCGACCATAGTGCAAAATTATTTTCAGTGAAAGCATTCTCAATAAATAAATACATATGCTATTTATTAAGTGCCAATGAGACATCTAGCTTTGAAGTACATGCAGTGCATTCATGTTGTCTTTCCCACAAACTTTTTTTTTTTTTTCCTGGCCAGTCTTGGGCCTTGAACTCTGGGCCTGGACACTGTCTCTAAGCTCCTTTTGCTCAATTCTAGCACTCTACCACTTGAATTATAGCACTACGTCTGGCCTTTTCTGTGATTAATTGGAGATAAGGGTTTCAAAGACTTTGGCTTTGAACCAAGATCCTTAGATCTCAGCCTTCTGAGTAGCTAGGATTACAGGCGTGAGCCATCAACAACCAGCCTCATAAGAGCTTTAATGGCCAATGGGTTCTCATTTGCATTTTATAGATGAAGATACTGAGCCTCAGACATAAAAGCAACTTTTCAATGACATGCAGCTGACGTCAGAAGTCACTAGACAGTTACTATTAATTAGTAATTACCAAAGCACAGAGAATGGCCAGTTTGGACTTACCTTTATTTGTTGAATGAGTGCTTCATCTTCTGGCACACTGGGGTCTATGCCAATGACAATGCCTTCGTAGCCATTGTTGTTCAGCTGAATGAGGGAACTGCTTAGGGCTCCTCCTAAAAGGTGAAGGATCACGAGGAAGACAGAGCCCTTCAGTGATTCCATTGCTGCATATCACCCTTTGATTTCTCTTGGGGAAATACTGGTTGTGGAGGTGTCTTTCTTTACTCCCATATATATATCTATGAGGAAATGTAGGCAGGGATTTTCCGAGTCAAGGGTAGTTTATTGTGGGACATTAACCCCTTGACCTAAACCTGTTCCATTATTGCATTTGCCTTCAGTGTGTGAATAGTTACAACTTCGAATCAAATTGTGTACTTTTAAGAGTTTTAATTTAAAAGGAGGGGCTTTGGGCTTTGCCAGCTGCTAGGGTGAGGGTGGGGGGCACTCACATTCCACTTCCCAGGAATCATTCATCCCTGACAAGCACCTTCATTCAAAGGTTTGTTTACTTACAAATATTTGCCCAGCCAGCAACATTGACCCATCCCAACCAACTCAAGCCCGCACCTGGTCCCACTTAATGAATGCCTATTGATATCTTCAATAGGCATTCATTAAGTATAAGTCAAGTATCTACTTATCCCTTATCTTGGTCTTTATTTTTAACTTCACTGACCTTGGCATAACCTCAGCAGCACTTCTCCACAATTGTGTTGGGCATTGTACTTGAACCAAAACCATTGTAAGTAATGTTGATAGTATTGAAAAGTTATTTTATAGTGGAGAAAAAATATGACATTTCATCACTCTGTGTGTGTGTGTGTGTGTGTGTGTGTGTGTGTGCTGGCCCTGGTGCTTGAACTCAGGGGCTTAAGCACTATACCTGAACTATTTTGTTCAAGGCTACCCCTCTAGCACTTGAGCCAACACCACCACTTACAGCTTTGGAAGTAAGAGTCTCATACACCTTCCTGCCCAAACTGACTCCTAACCTTGAGCCTTAGATCTTAGTCTCCTGAGTATCTAGGATTACAGGCATGAGTCACTAATGCCCAGTTAACCTTTCATCACAGGTTTTTTTTAAAGCAAGTCCCTCAAGTTTTTTCATCACACCTCTGCTTTGTCCATCCCAAATTTACATTAATAACAAAGTATTTTGCTGTCATGAAATGTCAGTCAGAACATTAAATATGGACTGTTAAATACTATGTAGACTTTTTAAAGTTCATAAAACATCGGATGAAACCTCAGATTTAGCCAACCATGTTCCTGGATTCAAATTACTTGGAAATAAATAATATAATGGCAATCGTTGAGAAAATAACGAATGCTGGCTAGAATTGGGAACCCTCTTACACTGTTGGTGGGAATGTAAATTAGAATAACTATAATAGACGTCTGTATGGAGTTTTCCCCCACAACACTAAGAACAGAACTACAATATGATCTTACAGTACCACTCTTGGGCATACACCTGAAGGGATATGAGTCAACATGCAATAGAAAAACCTGCACAAACATGTTTATTACACAGCTATTTATTCACAAGAACCAAGCTATGGAAATCAGTCTAATACTTATCAGTCAATGAATGGATGAAAAAGTTATGGTATAAATATACAATAGAATATTATTAAGCTATAAAGATGAATGAAGTTACATCATTTATGGGAAAATTGACCAAACTGGATCAAGCAGACCATAGACAAATTTCACATATTTTCTCTCATACACAGAATTTATAAGAAAACAGATACATAGATATAGATACACACATATATGTGTCTAACTGTGTATCTAAAATTTATACATGCATAATCCACATATAGTTATGAATATTTAAAATTCACAATATATATTTAAATTCATAAATATGGATTTAAATATGCCATTTAAATGTGTGCCATATTATGCCATGAATTTGGAAGGGGGCCTGTAGGTTGGAAGGGGACCAGTGAAAGGGAGAAAAGAAAAGCTAATGGGAAGACGCTGGGAGCAATGTATGTGATTGACATATATTGAATGAAATACAATTATAAAGGAGAGAGGGAAATACTGTAATGGAGGAGATGAATCTTATCAAAGTGTAGGAATATAGTGAAACCTCTTTTTTATACAAGCAATCTATGCTAATAAAATAAAAATGAAATAGCCTTTCATCCAAATTCAATTTGGTTTGAAGATAGGCGCAAACACAGATTTTGTCTTGTCTGTCCCTTTTTCTTTTATATTGGCTTATAAAAATTAAATTAGGACCTGTGCATATAATCTTAAGTAATTGAAAATGAAGATTGAAATAGAGTAAAAGTACTAAAGTACAAAGTGACTGTTCAGATGATTCAATATATACTTTGATATAAAAGGTGAATACATGTATTATACATAGCAAATAAAAACTGGATTCCCAAGTATGTGACTCTGAGCTTGCTGCAGCTTGCTTGATTTCCTTAGTAAGGCAAGGTTGTGTGCTGATGGCTTATGAGAGATTTACACCCTGAGCTTGGAAAGTGAGGTGAAGGGGAAATACACTGGAAAAGCAGAGGGGAAACTTAAATTGGCTGCAGCTATATAATGAGGAGACCTTGCAGGTCAGCCTGAGACACTCCTGCCTTGTACCAGAATGTCTCCCTTAGATCTGGATAAAGCAACCAGGCCTGGAGGGCCTATAGCAGGGACGAAGAGAAAGAGTTTGTCTACTCATATTGCATGGGAAAGTCTCTGTTCTCTGTGGTGTGGGAGGAGTCAGTGATTCCAAAAGGTGCCAGTTGGGCTGGAAGTGGAACCACGTGGACCAGCAAGGAGCAAGTAATGATGGAGGTGGAACCAGTGGCTAAGGTTTTGCTAAACAGATGGGGCCAGGAAAATCTATGGATATTCAAGAACAACAGTCTAATCTGTACAGGAAGATAAGTCCCTCTGAATCATTCAGGTTTACTTACCTCATATCTAGTTCCAGTACTGTACTATATAATGAGGGTTTGCAATTTGTGTGGGGGTGGTGAGTGCAAGCTGTCTTTTTTTTCCTGAGAGGATGTACAAATCCAATTATTCACAGAATCTCCTCTGAGTTGTTAGCTAATAACTATTTCCTCAAATTCTTAAGGCATGAGAGTTACTGAAATACATTGTAATGCTTGCTGCTACAATCTGCCCCCAGGCCATTATACATATTTATGTTTTCCATCTTCTTGGCATTCTGGCTGCTTTTTGTTGTTTGTTCTCTGAGTGGGGCCTTTAGTTGCTCTACCACTTTGGATGGAAGCTGCATCACTTGTTGATGACAGGGGTTGCTATATGACAAACACAGCTCCACCTTGACTTTGCTTGCCTTTCAGGCTGTCTGGGCCCTGGCTGCTAACACCTAGTTCTCCTCAGCCTCCTCAGGAGAAGGCCTAGCCTGGCATGGCAGCCTCCACGCAGACATTGGTGGCTATTCTACTTTCTCTGGTGCCAGTTCGGCCTGGCAAATGTACAGTCTCTACCATGACACTGGTGATCTGACTTTTAGGTTTGCTAGGTGTGCCAAGTTATTCAAATTAAAGGCGTAGGGAGTTAACACCTCAAGGGAAGACCTTTTACCAAAGACAAACTATTTAAACCTCCTAGCAGTGCCTTTGTGTTCCTTCTGAGTCAAAGACTCCTCCCCAAGATCGTAATCACTATTCTGGTTTCTATTGCCACTTAGGTTAAATTTTGTTTTTGAACTTCATTTGAACATGAATTTACAGCATAAACTTTTCTGTCTGGCTACTGCGATGTAATATTTTTAATATGAAATGCATGTGATAATAATATGTTCTGTTTCCATTATATTGCATTGTGAAAAGATACTACAGCTCACAAGCATCTGCTGTTGATGAGCCTTTGGATTACTTCCAGTTCAGGGCTATTATAAATAAAATTGCCATAGATCTCAACATTGCTTCAGTTGGGTGTATCTTAAGAGTGGATTGCTGGGTCATCAAATATACATGCCTGGATCTTATAATAGAGACTCATTTGACCAATAACACTTCAGTCAACATCTTGAGATATTTGTCACTAGATTTTAATTGGCCTTCCTTCCATGTCCTTAAAAAATCTAGTTTGAGTAATAATTGTGCTAATTCCCTCACCCTATTCTGTTTCCAGAAATAATCCTAACAAGTTCAGCCCAAACTCTCCTGTGCATACGTGTGTGTGTGTGCGCGCGTGCATGCTTGCACAGCCCAAACTCTCCTGTGCATACGTGTGTGTGTGTGTGTGTGCATGCATGCTTGCACAGCCCAAACTCTCCTGTGCATACGTGTGTGTGTGTGTGTGTGTGTGCGTGCATGCTTGCACACAATCTGGTACTAGAGCTTGAACTCACCTTGCTAGGTGTGTTTTCACTCATACCTGCAGCTATACCGCCCTCCAGTTGTAGCTTTTACTGATTAATTGGAGATAAAGTGTTTCTCAAATTCGTCTACCCAGGTTGGCTTTGAAACTTCATCCTTAGATATCAGCCTTTTGAGTTCGCTAGAATTACAGGTGTGAGACATTGATGTTTCCTCCTAATACATTTCTATGTCTTGAGCCTCTCACCCGTTCCTTTGTTGTATAACCCTGCTTCTTCTCACTGGAGTGGGAGTTAAGTATAAACTCTCTTCTTTTCTCTTCCCTAGCACAACACTCCATTGAGTGGTTCCCAACACAATCTTTAACAAATGTTTAGATGTTCTACTTTCCAAAGTGTTTGTACTCCTTTTTTTATATTTTTGCCAGTCAATAGTACTTTCAGTCTTCCCTCTCTTCTCAATAGTACAGTTGACTTGCTCTGTAATTTTATTATTATGATGATGATGAAAATACCATACAGAGGGGTTACAATTACATGGGCAAGATAATGAGTACATTTCTTATCAAGCATTGTTGCCTCCTCCTTTGTTTCTCCTTCTTATCCCTTCATATCCCCCCCCCTCCGCTCTGTAATTTTTAAATTGGAATTTCCTGATGATTAGTGTTCTCAAGCCCCACATACTTCTTGGTTTTTGCAAAGTGCCTATTCAAAGTTTTATGACCACTTTTTAATTATGGTGTCTTTTTAATTGATTTATTCATCTTCATATTTTCTTAATAAAAAAGTATATATAGGTACTGGGTATTTTTTGTATCATGTATGACATTTCCCAAGATTA